TTATTTGTATTATTTATATAAAATTCACAGTAAACCTGGAGAAAGCCACTATCCTGACTTTTCAGAGATAGATCCAAAGATTCCTGTATTGTTAACAATAAGGAGACAATAAAGGCAATGCTTCTTGTTGGTGTAACCCATCTCTTCTTTCATATTTAAGATGATCAAAGTGATGCCATAAAATTACAACTTATCCATTCTCATGAAGATACTAAAGAAAAGTGTCTCCATTTTTTTAACAGGTGTAGTCCAAAACCATTAGTACACAAATATTTTCACATAATGTCAACATGTTAAAGAATCAAGAGAATCTCAACATTTTACTTCCTTTCCTGATTTTAACTAAATTGCAATTTACCTTTTAGTATGTTGCGTATCTTAACTTTTTTTTTTTAATTGTACTTTAGGCTGTGGGGTACCTGTGCACGTCCTGCATCCTGCAGGATTGTTGCATAGGTACATACATGCCATGGTGGTTTGCTGTCTCCATCCCTCCCCCATTGCCTACATCAGGCGTTTCTCCCTGTGTTATCCCTCCCCATCCTCCCCACCTCCTACTGTCCCTCCCCTCCCCTTCACTCCACACCCTCCCCCCGACCTAGCCCAGTGAGTGTTGTTCCCTTCCCTGTGCCCAAGTGTTCTCATTGTTCACCACCGGCCTATGACTGAAAACGTGGTGTTTGGTTTTCTGCTCTTTTGTCAGTTTGCTGCGAATGATGATTTCTAGATTCATACATGTCTTTACAAAGGACATGAACTCGTCATTTTTTATGGCTGCATGGTATTCCATACCCTAAATTCTTAGTAAGCTTATTTAAGCACATAGACTTATAGATGAATAAACTTTTAAACTGTGGAATCCTCCATCCACTGAAGCCAGGTTGCTGCAAAGGATTCTTTCCATACATTAATATTAGATCTAAAACTGAACCCATAGTCTTTTCATTCTTTACAAGATAATCCTCCTATGTCATGCAATAGCACACAACTAGACCAAGATATTCTCACCATAAATCCAAGTGCTATCCTAGAGTCTTTCATTTTCACTGTCCCTCAATCCAATGATTCATTAAGTCATATTTATTTTCTATTTATCTCTTTATTTTGTCTGTCTCTTAATATCAACTTCATGCACCATAATGTAAGTGGCAATGATTCCTTACTTGCCTAATGGAAAAAACAAAAAACAAAGTTTTCCTAGCTGGGTGCAGTGGCTCATGCCTGTATTCCCAGCATTTTGTGAGGCTGAAGCAGGTGGATCACCTGAAGTCAGAAATTCAAGACCAGCCTGTCCCACATGCTGAGACCCCAACTGTACTAAAAATATAAAAATTAGCTGGGCATATGGGAGGCACCTGTAATCCCAGCTACTTGGGATGCTGAGGCAGGAGGATCGCTTAAACCAGGGAGGCAGAGGTTGCCAAGATCATGCTATTGCACTCCAGCCTGGGTGACAAGAGTGAAACTCCATCTCAAAAAAAAAAAAAAAAAAAAAGATGTTGCCCTAATTTGTCTCCTAAGTTCAGTACAGCACACATTCTTTCTCAATGCACTAAGAGGAGTCTCTGTAATGTTTGATTGTTTATGGAGGTCACATCTTTCAAATGTGTTTTAACGCTGGAGCCTTATGTTCTAGAAATAAAATAATTATCTTTAATAGATTTTAAAATGCCTTGCAGACTTTCATCCTTTTGTACCATAAGGATACTTTCACAAGAGTTTACTTTCTTCACTTTCCTGTCATGTTTTGTATTATAATTGCTTTTGAATGAGAATTTATCCCTACCTCATCAGTAATTACAAAGAAGGAAGACACACACTTGAACTCATTCACTGTTTTATAAACAGCAACAAAATTGTTGCTTGAAAATAGTTGTCAATAAGTACTAGCTAAATAAATAAATAAAATATATTAATACAAATTTGGCTTTAAGCAGCTTTATTAGACAACCTTGTTTAAAAAGAGTGAAATGTGTTGAAATTCTGATCATAGAATAAACCACCTGTCTACTGTACACACAGTTGATAGCATGTTCATATTTTACTATTGATATTACTATTAATTATAATTGATATTGTATATTGGGTGGAGAGTGGACATATTTGTTAGAATTGTCAAGTAACACTTAGCAAAATGATATCATGATTTTTTTGAGGACTTAATGTTGCACTTAAAAGTTTATATTCTGCTAGAGCCAATCTTTAAACATTATTTACATACAAGAAAATCAAGCTAAAAGAAATAATCATTCTAAGTCCAAACTATGCAATATATAAATATTCAATTGAGAAAGGAGTAATTATTTTAAAATATAGTAGAAATACTTATAAGGCATACATATAAGGAAAAATATTTTTAGCAAGGAAATATTTGTCATAAAATGAAGCAATTGTCTTTGACTTTAAGGTAAAGCCACCGTTACGAAAAAAATATTGGGAGCAAATTCATTCTTTTGCATGAGAATATGCAGTTTTCTTAACACCTAATATTAGGTGTTTTCCTAACAGCTAATATATTGGGTTTATTTCTGAACCCCTTATTCTTTTCCATTAGTCTATATGTCTGTATGCCAGTATCACATCATTTTGATTACTTTACCTTTACAGATTTTTTGAAATCAGAATACGGGAGGTCTCCAGCTTCGTTCTTTCTCAAGATTGTTTTTGCTATTTGATATTCTACCAATCCATGTAGATTGTAGGATTATTTTTTCTATTTCTGTAAAAATGTCATTGGGATCTTGATAGTCATTGCATTGAATCTCTTTGACTAGCACGAAAATTTTAAGGTGTACCCTTTATGAGATTAACGTTTAAATTTCACATATTTGTAAAATCATGCAGTTTATCTTTCTGGGCCTAGTTTATTTTACATGACATGATATCATACAGATTCATCCACAGTAGTTCAAAAGACAGAATTTCATTGTATTTTATAGCTGAACAGTATTCTTTTGTGTGTATATATATATATATATATATATATATATGCTGTGTACATATATATATATATGAATACTGTATATAAATAATACTGTATATATATAAGAATACTGTATATAAATAATACTGTATATATATAAACATTTTTTTCATCCATTTCTCCATTGATAGACTTTTAGGTTGATTTCATCTCTTGATTATTGTGAATAGTGCTGCAATGAACATAGCAGCACAGACATCACTTTGACACACTGATTTCACTTCCATTGAATATATATTTATATACAATCACTGAATCAATAGTAGTTCTATTTTTAATTTTTTAAGGAAACTCAATATTGTTTTCCATAATAGCTGTACTAATTTACACCTCCACCAAGTGTTTTAATTCTCTATCCTCAGCATCCAAGTCAGAATTTATTTTCATCTTTTTTTATGGTAGTCATTCTAACTGGAGTGAAGTGACATCTCATTGTGATTTTGATTGGCATTTTCTTAAGAGCCAATGATGCTAAGAATTTTGTCATGTATTTGATGGTCAATTGTATATCTTCTTCAGAGAAATATCTAGTCAGGTATTTTGTCCATTGTAAAACTCAGAGATAATTTGTGATTGTTTGCTCCAGAGTTGTTTGAGTTACTCATTGTCAGATACACAGTTTGTAATTATTTTCTTTCAACCAGTATATTTTCTCTTCACTCTGTTGATTTCTTGGCTGTGAAGAAGTGTTTTTTGTCTTCATTTTGTGTCATTATTCATTTATTTAGTTTGAAATGATCTCATTTGTCTTTTTTGTTGTTGTTGTTGACTGTGTTCTTGAAGTCCTAACCAAAAAATTCTTCCCAGACCTATGTCATAAAACATTTCCCAGATGATTTCTTTCAGTAGTTTTACTTTTAAGCTGTGGGTCTTACTTTTAAGTTTTTAATATATTTAGAGTTGATTAACGTAGAGAACAGTCTTGCTTTTAAGTTTTTAGTCCATTTAGAGTTGACTAAGAGAACACTCTATTTTCATTCTTTGGCATGCAAATATCTAGTTTTCTCAGCATAATTCATTGTTGTGTCTGTCCTTTCTGCAATGTGTGTTCTTAGCACCTTGCTTGAAAATAAAATGGCTGTAAATGAGCGGATTCGTTTCTGTACTCTCTAGCCTTCTTCATTGGCCTGTTTTCATATTAATACCACACTGTTTTGATTACTATAGCTCTGTAATATATTTTATTTTTTAAATTTATTTATTATACTTTAAGTTGTGAGGTACATGTACAGATCATGCAGGTTTGTTACATAGGTATACATGTGCCATGGTGGTGGTTTGCTGCACCCATTGCCCCATCATCTACATTAGGTATTTCTCCTAATGGTATCCCTCCCCAATTCTCCCATCCCCTGCTATTCCTCACCTAGCCCCCCACTACCCAGACCCTGGTGTGTGATGCTCCCCTTCCTGTGTCCATGTGTTCTCACTGTTAACACTCACTTATGAGTGAGAACATGCAATATTTGGTTTCCTGTTCTTGTGTCAGTTTGTTGAGAATGATGTTTCAGTTTCATTTATGTCCCGGCAAAGGATGTAAATTCATCCTTTTTTATGGCTACTTAGTATTCCATGGTGTATATTTGCCACATTTGCTTTATGCAGTCTATTATTGTTGGATATTTGGGTTGGTTCCATGTCTTTGCTATTGTTAACAGTGCCGCAGTGAACATACATGTACATGTGTCTTTATAATAGATCAATTTATAGCCCTTTGGGTATACACCCAGTAATGGGATTGCTGGGTCAAATGGTATTTCTAGTTCTAGATCCTTGAGGAATCGCCATACTGTCTTCCACAATGGTTGAACTAATTTACACTCCCACCAACAGTGTAAAAGCGTTCCTATTTCTCCACATCCTCTCCAGCATCTGTTGTCTCCTGATTTTTTAATAATTGCCATTCTAACTGGCATAGCGTGGTACTTCAATGTGGCTTTGATTTGCATTTCTCTAATGACCAGTGATGATGAGCACTTATTCCTATGTTTGTTGGCTGCATAAATGTCTTCTTTTGGAAAGAAGTCCACCCTTCACCTGGTCCTTCGTCTCCGAGGTGGAATGCAGATCTTCGTGAAGACCCTGACCAGTAAGACCATCACCCTCGAGGTGGAGCCCAGTGATACCATTGAGAACGTCAAGGCGAAGATCCAGGACAAGGAAGGCATCCCTCCTGACCAGCAGAGGTTGATCTTTGCCGGAAAGCAGCTGGAAGATGGGCGCACCCTGTCTGATTACAACATCCAGAAAGAGTCCACCCTTCACCTGGTCCTCCGTCTCCGAGGTGGAATGCAGATCTTCGTGAAGACCCTGACCGGTAAGACCATCACCCTCGAGGTGGAGCCCAGTGACACCATTGAGAACGTCAAGGCAAAGATCCAAGACAAGGAAGGCATCCCTCCTGACCAGCAGAGGTTGATTTTTGCTGGAAAGCAGCTGGAAGATGGGCGCACCCTGTCTGACTACAACATCCAGAAAGAGTCCACTCTACACCTTGTCCTCCGTCTCAGAGGTGGGATGCAGATCTTCGTGAAGACACTGACCGGTAAGACCATTACCCTTGAGGTGGAGCCCAGTGACACCATTGAGAACGTCAAGGCAAAGATCCAGGACAAGGAAGGCATCCCTCCTGACCAGCAGAGATTGATTTTTGCTGGGAAACAGCTGGAAGATGGGCGCACCCTGTCTGACTACAACATCCAGAAAGAGTCCACCCTTCACCTGGTTCTCCGTCTCCGAGGTGGAATGCAGATCTTCGTGAACACCCTGACCGGTAAGACCATCACTCTTGAGGTGGAGCCCAGTGACACCATTGAGAATGTCAAGGCCAAGATCCAAGACAAGGAAGGCATCCCTCCTGACCAGCAGAGATTGATCTTTGCTGGGAAACAGCTGGAAGATGGGCGCACCCTATCTGACTACAACATCCAGAAGGAGTCCACTCTGCACTTGGTCCTGCGCTTGAGGGGGGGTGTCTAAGTTTCCCTCCCCTATAAGGTTTCAACAAATCTCATTGCACTTTTCTTTCAATAAAGTTGTTGCATTCCCAAAAAAAAAAAAAAAAAAAAAGGGGGCTGCTCTGCTGGTGGCTGGTTTGGGGGTTGGTTGTGCTGTGTTTCTTCCGAAGCTTTGTATGCATGCGAGGTTCTAAGAAGTTCTCTGCTGGCTGGACGGAGGTGGCCTGGAGGCCAAGCAGGTGTGGCAGTTCTGCAGCAGACTCGTTTGCCACAAAAGCGGAAGATGACTCCTTTCTCCAGTGGGTCCTGCTCGTCATCCCTGTGACTGCCTTTGGCTTGGGGACATGGCAGGTCCAGCGTCGGAAGTGGAAGCCGAACCTGATTGCAGAGTTAGAGTCCAGAGTTCTGGCTGAGCCTGTTCCTCTGCCTGCAGACCCAATGGAACTGAAAAATCTGGAGTATAGGCCAGCGAAAGTCAGGGGGTGCTTTGATCTCTCCAAGGAGCTGTATATGATGCCCCGGACTATGGTGGACCCTGCCTGGGAGGCCGGCCGCATCTCCTCCTCAGCTGAGACTGGAACCTATGTGGCTACTCCCTTCCAGTGCACCCACCTAGGATTGAGGGGGAAGTGGACCTCCTTGGAATGGTGAGGCTGACGGAAACTGGAAAGTCTTTTGTCCCCGAGAACAATCCAGAAAGGAACCACTGGCATTACTGGGACCTGGAGGCTATGGCCAGAATCACTGGCGCAGAGCCCATCTTCATTGATGTTGACTTCAGTATGTTGTGACCAATTCACCCTAGAACAAGTAGCTTTTGTGAATACTGTCCTTCCTCCTCCTGATCCTCATTACTCAGTCTCTGCTGTGGCATACATTCTCACATGTGTATATGGGGGAGATGGCAATTCAGCAAAGGGAACCTAGCTAGGCAAGTACTGAGGGGTCAAGGCCAAACAGGATTTCCAATTAAAATGACAGCCACTAGGAAGTAGTGCAGAGGCTGGCAGGCAGCAGATGGTGGACTTGAGTCCACAGTCTCTGCAGAAAGCACAGTCCCTGGAGGACCCATAGGAAGGCAAGCCAGAGTCACTCTGAGGAAGGAGCATTTGCAGTACATCAACCCGTTGAGTCCCAGGCGGCCCTCTGACTCCCTCCCCTTCAGCCTAGCAGCCCACTAACACTTTCAACCCTAGGTATGGACTCTGCAGCTACATCATACCTGTGGTTTAATAAATTCATATGTGGAACACCTGGTGTGTGAGACCAGCTGCTAAAGCCCTATCCCTGAATAATGACATATTTGAAAAGACTACCTTTATGCTGGATCATGTACTATTGGGATAAATAAAAGTTCTGGGCCTTCTACCTTGAAAAAAAAAAAAAAAGAAAAAAAAAAAAAAGAAAAAATCCAACAACCCCATCAAGAAGTGTCTACCCTTCTTCCATCTTCCATTCTTTTGCATTTGTTGAGGAGTGATTTACTTCCAATTATATGGTCAATTTTAGAGTAAGTGTGGTGTAGTGCTGAGAAGAATGTATATTCTGTGGATTTGGGGTGGAGAGCTCTGTAAATGTCTATTAGGTTTGCTTGGTCCAGATCTGATTTCAAGTCCTGGATATCCTTGTTAATGTTCTGTCTTGTTGATCTGTCTAATATTGACAGTGGAGTGTTAAAGTCTCACACTATTGTTGTGTGGAAGTCTAAGTCTCTTTGTAGGTCATTAAGAACTTGCTTTTGTATCTAGGTGCTCCTGTATTCGGTGCATATATATTTAAGATAGTTAGTTCTTCTTGTTGTATTGATCTCTCTACCATTATGTAATGCCCTTCTTTGTAGATACAAAATCTCACAACGTTGTCCAGGCTGATCTTGAACACCTAGGCTCAAGCAATTCTCCTGCCTCTGATTCCCAAATGCTATTATGACAGGAATGAGCCATTGCCCTCAGTCCAGATGTGAAAGGTTTTTATCTCTCCTTAATGGAACATTGCTGGGTATAGTATTCTTGACTAATAGCTCTTTAAAACTTGTTTATTTGTTTGTTCTTTCCTTTAGTACTTTGAATACATCAATGCATTGTCTAGTGGCCCACAGGGTTTCTGCTGAGAAATCTGCTAGAAGTCACATTAGGACTCTATGGAATATATATTTTTTTCTCTTGCTTTTTCTAGTATTTGTCTTTGATTTTTGATAATTTAATTATAATGTGTGTTAGGAAATTTCCATTTGAATTAAATTTGATTGGTGAACCCTGAGCTTCCTGTAACTAGATATATTTGTAGACATTATTTTCCTAAATATTCTTTCTAGGCCTTTCTATCTGTCATCTCCTTTTTAATTTCTATGATGTCGTGATTAGTTCACTTGATGGGGTCCCATTATAGACCTTCATTATTTTTTTTAATTTATGCCTTTAATCCTCTAATTGAGTAATTTCATGTGTTATGTTTTTGATCTTACTGAATCTTTCCTTTGATGAAATCTGCTGTAGAAACTAAATTTTTCAATTCTGTTATTGTATTTCTTGTATCTAGCTAGAACTTCTATTTTCATAATTGTTTCTATTTTTTGTCAAATTTCTCATTCTCCACCAGGCGTGGGGTAGTCTTTATTGGGAAGGAGAACATTAACTTGCTTCCAAGTCAGGGGAAGGCTCCACAAGACTTCATGTTTGATATGGTCCCCACCCAAATCTCATCTTGAATTGTAACTCCCACAATTCCCGTGTGTCATGGGAGGAACCCAGTGGGAGGTGATTGGTTATTGGGGTGATTCTTTCCTGTGCTGTTCTCATGATAGTGAATAAGTCTCATGAGATCCGATGGCTTTAAAAATGAGAGTTTGCCTATACAAAGTCTCTCTCTTTTCTTGCTGCCATCCATGTAAGTGGTGACTTGCTTCTCCTTGCCTTTCTACGATGATTGTGAGGCTTCTCCAGCCACATGGAGCTGTAAACCCATTAAATCTCTTTCTTTTGTAAATTGCCCAGTCTCGGGTATGTCTTTATTAGTAGCATAAAAACAGACTAATACAATGGTTTTGTGGAAAATCCAGCCAGACATTCAGGTATTCCCATAGATCATTACCTTCTGCAGCACTATGACAGTGGTCTCCTCAGCATAGCATCCCTGTTGATTGAAACACAGAGTACCTGCCAACATCTATGTATCATATTGATGAGTAACCCAATCTTTGTCTCCAATTTACCTCAGGTAGTTCAACCCTTCTGGCACTTTCAATGCTTCCTGTGGCACAGGACTGGAGTAGGCTTCCACAAAAATTCTCAGACCTGTAGAAAGATCAAACATCACCATCAAATCACTCCTCCTACCTCAGAAATTCTGAATGTGAAAAAAGTTTTCATGGGTTGCTTTTACCAGGTTGGGGAATGGGTGGTGTGGTCTAAAATAACCATTCCTCTTACTGGTCAAGGTTTTTCTCATTTCTGTTGATCCAAGTTCTTCCCCAAGTTTGCTGAATTCAGAGATAGATTCTTAACTTTTGAGTAGTTGCTAGATATACTGGGGGGAGTGATGCTGAGGCATCTTCTGTTCCACCATCTTGTTAATATCATTCTGGCTCTCTCTCTCTCTTGTTAGTCTAGCTAAAGATTTGTAAATTTTGTTCAACTCTTTTAAAAATCATCTCCTTGTTTCCTTGATTTTTTTTTCCATTCTTTTTCTACTCCCTATGTGATTTATTTCTGCCCTCATCTTTATTATTTATTTTTTATCATAACTTTGGGCATAGTTTGTTCTAATGCTTCTAGTTTCTGGAGCTCTAGAGCAAGGTTGTTTCCTTGTTTAAGATCTTTCTTCTTTTTAGTGTATGTGTTTATCAATATAAATCTGTCTCCTAATACTACTTTTACTCATCTTACATGTATGTTGTGCCTTTGATTTTATTGTCTAAAGGTATTTTGAATTTCCTTTTTCTTTTGCTTTTTGACACATTGGCTGCTCAAGACTTTGTTGTTTAATTTTCACTTCTCTGTTAATTGTTCAGCTTTCCCTTGGCTACTAATATCCAGTTTCATTCTATTGTGATTGGAAAAGACATTTGGCATAACTACAGACTTCCTAAATTTGTTAAGACTTCTTTGTGACCTAAAAGGTGATCTATTCAGAGGATAATTTATGTGTATGGGAAATGTGTATCCTTCTGCCTTTGGGTAAAATGTTTTACATATTTTCTTAGGTCTATTTGGTCTATGATGTTGTTCAAGTATTTATTTATTTATTTATTTAATTAATTTAATTTTTTTTTTGAGACGGAGTTTCACTCTTGTTACCCAGGCTGGAGTGCAATGGCGCGATCTCAGCTCATCGCAACCTCCGTCTCCTGGGTTCAGGCAGTTCTCCTGCCTCAGCCTCCTGAGTAGCTGGGACTACAGGCACACGCCACCATGCCCAGCTAATGTTTTGTATTTTTAGTAGAGACGGGGTTTCACCATGTTGACCAGGATGGTCTCGATCTCTTGACCTCGTGATCCACCCACCTCGGCCTCCCAAAGTGCTGGGATTACAGGCTTGAGCCACCGTGCCCGGCCAAGTATTTTTTTTTTCTTATTTATTTTTTGTCTGGATATTCTATCAATTATTGAAATTGGAGTTTTGAAAACTTCTACTATTATTATGTTGCTGCCTATTTTTGCCTTAACTTCTGTCAATTCTTGCTTCATATATTTAGATGCTCTCGAAAACGTATATAGATGCATATATGTTTATAATTGTCATACTTTCCTTATGAATTTACACTTTGATCATTTTATAATGTCCTTTTTGGTCTCTTGTGACAAAATCTGACACAAATTAATTTTGTATGGTATACCTATGGTAACCTGTGCTCATTTTGGGATTGCATTTGCATGAAAATTTTTTTCCATTCCTTCATTTTTAACCTATGTATATTCTTAAATCTAAAGTGGGTGTCTTATAGTTAGCATATAATTGGATCTTTTTTAAAACCCATTTAGCTATACTATCTTTTAACAGAGTTTAATTCATTCATATTTTAAATTATTATTGATAGGAAAAGGCTTACTATTAACATTTGTAAAATTGTTTTCTGTCCATATTCTAGATATTGTATCTCTTTTCTTGCTTCTTGTTTTCTTTTACATTTGGTTGATATTTATGAAGTGATGTGCTTTGATTTCTTTTTATTTTCTTTTTTATATCACCTATAGGTATTTTCTATGGTATGGCATTTACCTAAAATATTTTATGTTGATAACAACCTATTTTATTTGAACTTTAATTATTTAAGTTCAATAATTCAATAACATTTTAATTGAAGTTATGTTCAGCAAGCACTACATACTTATATTATTGATATCACAAATTACATCTTTATATTGTTTCCATGAACATATTTTATACTTATGGTTACCTACACTTTTATATTTTAACTTTTATACCAGAATTAAAAGTGATTTACACACCACCATTCCAGGATCACTGTATTCTCTATTTGTCTATATTTTTTCTTATCTGTAAGCTTTATACTTCCATATGATTTTGTTTTGTTATTTGGCTTATTTTTGTTTTAAATTAAAGGACATCCTTTAGCATTTCTTCTATGACAATTGTAGTGATAATCAACTCTGTAAGCTCTTATTTATCCTGGACTGTTTTTATCTTTCTTTTTTCCTTTTTAAGAAAAAATATTGATAAACACTGTATTCTTGGTTGCCAATGTTTTTTTTTTCTTTTAGTACATTGACTATATTATTCTAATTCCTCTGTCCTACAAGATTTTGCTGAGAAATCCACTTATAGTTTTATAATGGCTCCCTTGTATGCTGAGTGTGTTTTCTCTCCTTACTTCAAAACTTTGTTTGTCTTTGGGTTTTGACCATTTGATTATAATGTGTCTTCATGTGCTCTTTGAGTTTACCCTGTTTGAAGTTACTACACCTTCTTTAATTGAGATATCCATTTCTTCCCACAGACTTGGAAAGTTTCCAGTCATTATTTCTTGAAACAAGCTTTATATCTCTTTCACTTTCTCTCTACCTAGACTCTGATAATGTATATATTGTTCTGTTTTATGTTATTCCATCAATATTTTAGGCTTTTTGCATTATTTTCATAGCTTTTTTCCTTTTTACTCTTTTGATGAGACAATTTCAAATGACCTCTATTTGCATGTTTTATAATTATTTTGAATTTTTAATCAGGTAATTCATAAACCTCTCCTTTTTTAGAGTCATTTTCAGGGGATTTATTTTTTTTTAATTCAGTTTTCCTTGTTTCCTGATGTTACTTACAACTTTGTAAGTTATTCATGCATTTGAAAAAAAAAAAAAGAAAATCCAATTTGTCCAGTCTTGACCAACATCCTTTGTCGAGGGAAAGAATTT